CCAAGTAGTGAATGCACATATTTTTCCCAGATCTGTTTGAGGGAGGCTGGTGTCAGAGGTCTGACCTGCTGCAAAGCTGTAATTTGGTAGTTTCACTGGCGTGAACTCCTTTCGAGAACTTTGCTACTAGTGGTACAAACCTCACATGATGATACTTTCGTCCTCTCTAGTCACATCTGAACCAAGTTAACCACAGAGATCTTTCCTGATTTTGGTTGCTTTTGGCATCGGAGATCCTACATGTCTGAGTAATAAGCCAGGAGTTCAAACCTGACAGGAATGTCCTAAATCTTCCTCAAAGGAAGGGCTTGTATGCAAGCATGGTCTGCATCCCCATCCTGGTATTTCTGCTTGAGGAGTGGTCCATAGCTGAGGCTGATGACACCTTTCCTGTGATATTCTGGCGGAGGAGGCATCTGTCCCTGAGGCTGCCCTGGAACCCTCCCCTGGTATTTGAGCAAGGGAGGTGTGCATTTCTGTGGTTGCCATGCCACCCTCAATCTGACATGAAGAAGGAGGAGGGATCCATATCAGAGATTTCTGTCTGGGCCCAGCTGTCCCTGACATGTTCACAGTGGGCAGGAGACACCACGTGCTGGAAGAGTCCTCTTGACCCGAGAGGCTTGGCAGCCAGCCATTCCCGGTTTGCTGTCCCTGGACCTTCAGCCAGGCTTCTTCATAGCCTGGGACAAGTCACCCTCCCCCAGAGAATGGAGGGAGCGATATTGTCCCTGTATTTGGAGCTACTTGCAGTCTGATGGGCACCCTCAATATCTGCCATGCGGTGACTTGTGGAGGAACAACAGGTGCTGAGGGAAGAGTGTGCCTTTCTCCTTTTCATCTGAAGGAAACTGGAAGTGTTTTTTCCTGGTGTGGAAGTCCAGTCATCTCTGAGTCCAACTCACTCCAGCGGAGTAGGGACTCGCACTTCCTGCTATCCCACTCCCACTAGGAAATGAACGGCACGTTGTCGGGTCACAGCACAAGGCTCAGGTCTGGGGTGGGGCTGAACAAGGCATTCAGATCAGACCTGGAAGAGCATTGGGCTGGGAAAATTGTGGGGGATTCACATCTGCCTGTAGCACAGATGTTTTGGAAAACACTGCTGCTTCGGAGAAGCCTCAGGGGTCCTCTGACAGAAAACCACCCTTTAGCACCCTATTTTTAACAGATACTTTTAGCACCCTATTTTTAAGGTACTCCAGCACTTGCTACCCAGTAGTTCTTTCTTTTTCCCAGCTTACTCTTGCTTCTTTATATAACACTGCTTCTCTGATTACAGCTTCCTAATGCCTCTGGGGTTTAGCATGAACACACAAGGACAAGGTCTCTGTGCAGCTAGACAAGTGCATGTGTGTGTTCCTACAGGATGCACACTGCTTTTCTTGCACTGCTCTTGCGTTAAATAGGGGTCACTAAGATGGGACCGTTTCTGACTTGAGTGCACTCAGACGTCAGCATGGCCAGGGGCTGAGGGAAGGCAAAAGGGAACTGCCTCACCAGCGAAGCTATAACAAATGGTGCAAGGAGCCACATCTGGGGCAGCATCGGATACCCGTGTTCTCTGCAATGTAGCTCGGTGCTCCCAGATGTGGGAGCACAGCTGTGCTGTGCAGCACAGGGCTGGGTGTCCTGACAGACCTGCTCTGAACCCTGGAACCTGGCCTGCTCAGCTGAACCCTGGGGCTGCCAAAACCACCCTGTGGCAGGCAGAGCTGTGCAAGCCGTGTCAGCAGAGCTGCTCACACACTCGCTGCCCGTGGCGTGGGAGGAATATGCCCATCCATGTTTAAAAGCTGGGGCTGGGACCTGCCTCTCCTCACTAGTGCTCTCCAGGCACATGGCTGTGCCCTGCTGGCACATGACTTGTTTACAGTGGATGAGAGGCCTAATTTTAGGTTGGGGAATGAAACACTGGAAAGGTCACTGGATGGGACCAAATCCCAACTTGCTCTTATGATGGTACCAGCATCGTGTTTAGACCTGGTGAAACTAATCAGGATGCCTTTTCACTGCAGTTGTTTTACCCCAGCCCAGACACCTTCCCTGCCCCAGGACTCCCTGCCTTGGGGCATCTCTTTTTGCTCAGCAGAAAAGGCTGCCTATAAATTCCTCATCACTACATGATGGAAAGTACTGGGGGAAAGCACCTCAAAAAAGCAGTAGTTCTGTTTGAGGTCTTGAAGGCTAGACACCAAGAAGTTCTTCTGTTTTGAACTTCCTTGTGGGTCCTCGGGATTTGCCCCAGCTGTTTCTGGCCTCTCTCCTGATGCATTATCCTCTTGTGTCCAAGTAAACTTGGGCTTAGTGAGTGGCACAGAGGGAAGTTTCCAGGGAAAATCCAAGTAGCCATGAGGACTCAATAGCCTCTGTTTCAAACCCTCTGACTCAATAAGGAGCTCATTGCACTGTTGAAATCAACAGAGTTGTTGCTACCAAATTTACTGGCTGTAGTGAAAGGCACTGAAATTCCCAGTGACCTGGCAATAAAATATTCCTCTTTCCTCAACAAATATCTGAGCAATCCTGCTGGCTCTTCAGAACAATTGCCTTTTTCTTTGCCTAGAGGGATTTAAAAGTCAAATTCAGATTTTCTCTTTTATCTAGAAAGCACAAAACAGCTTCCAAATAAGGTTCTTCTGCAGGGGAAACTGAGGCACAGTGAGCAAACTTTCTTTCCAGAGACCAGAGCTGGAATCACATGTCACACTGCTCCCTGGTAGAGCCTAGGCTTGAGGCTGGGTAGGGTGCTTTTGTCTACTGGGATTTTTTCCACTAACACAGCAGCCAGATGTGGATCCTTCCTAAACCACTTCCTAAATGGATGGAGTTGTCATAATCATTCCTAACATTCCCTTTATAGAATAGAGGAAAAGATCTAAAGTAAGTAAATATGAGTGGTGGATATGAAACCCTATTTTGCAATGCCAATGTAAAGGCATTAATTTGGATGTAAAGGTAAGCCCTGTGTTTGCACTTCTAACTACTTCAGGCTTCTATCTACCTGCATTAGAAAGAAGCTGCTTCACTCATAAGAGGTTGATAGGGCAGTTACATGTAGTATTAAAGTTTTGGAGGTTTTTTTTTAATGTGGAAAATAATATTCACTTGAGGATTCTGTTTGATACACCCCATGCAAGCATTTTCCCAGAAATACAGCTGTAACAGCAACAATGCAATTAGTTTTTCTTCTTATGACTAAAACAATGGCATTTAAATCCACACACCAAGGCTGAAGGTTAAATGATTGTGGAGACATAGCAGTTGTTGTTTGTAACAGATTGTGAATAACTCTGGGAAACAGAACAATATTGCTGTGAGTTTTGCTGCATGTCTGTAGGCAGTTTGGTTAACTCAAAATTTTCTCCTGCTTTGGATGTTTAATAAAACAAAAGCAGGCATCCATTCAAGTATTCCTGCCCTATTGCAAACCAAACAAATCCTTTTTTTTTGTTGTTTTTTTATTAATTCACTCAGCAGACATAACCTTCAGCTGTTTCAGTATTTAATCACTTGCAAAAGGTATTTTGAGGGGAGCGAGAAATCCCAGACCCAAGTGTCGGGGCCAAAACCAGAGGAAATGGTGTGTTCAGGTTCAGCCCCCTCCCCGCAGGCAGTGCTGAAATGCCACATGTGGGACTCCCCCATGGGGGTCCTGACAGGGGCTCTCTTGCCATGTTGTACCACAGCCTTCACTGCAACACCAAGTGCTGCTGTGCCAAGGGCACACCCAGCCTGAGAGGGTTCCACAGCCCCTCTGAAGTTCTGGCCAGTGCTGCAAATTCAGGATCCTTTCAAGAGCTGCTTTTTTCCTTGCACAGAATAATCAGGTAGAATCCCATGGATTTTTTTTTTCCTTATGCCAGGACTGAATTTGGCTTTGTGTTGTTTGGTAGTGAATAAAGTTATATGGTTAACAAAAAAGGGGAAAAAAGAGCTGATTTTTTCAGATAAAACAGAGTTGAAGAGAGGCATTTCACATGGGATGTCACAAGGCTGCACATAAGCTTCTGAGACATTGGGGATGTAGGACCAGGGCTGTGTAGGTGCCTCTTTTCCTGGAGCTGTCATCTCCTGGTGGCAGAGGGAGGTGTAGGGCTGGGCTGCAGGCTGAGGCAGGGGCAGGAGATGCATGGAATGAGCAGCACAAACTGTTTCTCAGTGCTTCCTATCTCTGCACTCCACTGTCTCCCCTTTGCCTCTCTCCTTGTGCCACAAGGACACAGTTCACATCCAGAAGGTCTCCTGAGCCAACATGGTGTATCATCCCTGCTTTGGCAGCCTTAGGCAATGGTGCTTCCAAATAACAGAAATAACAGCTCCTCCTGAGCTTGCTGGGAGAGCTTCTTACCATGTGGAAATCCAGCCTGGCCCTTTGGGCTGTTATTTCTTTCCACGTGGCTTCTTGAAGACAGCACACGTGTGGTCCTGGGGAATGGTCTTTGTTTCAGAGGGTGACTAACAGCTGCTTAGCAAGAAGAGGCACAGGGTGGATTCAGCCTTGAGATCACTGAGGAAAAAGGTACCATGTGCTTTCGCCGGTGCCTTGAAGGCTCAAGACCCGTTTGTTTAAAGGGCTCTCAAGACGAAAGCATGAGTAATGCATTCTTGAACTGTAGCTTGGGCTGTGAGGGGAAGATGACAGTCCACGAGTGCATGACGTGCTTCTAGAGACAAAAGCCACCAGATTTTTGGCCTTGCTCCTTCTAATGAATCCCTGATGACTAATTCCATGATTGCCTCTTATCTACTCAATGAGCTTCTGTTCATAGCACAGTTCTTTGAGAAAATATTTTTTCCCTGAGTTTTGGAAAAAGTATTGTAAAGTTGTTAGCTGCCTTGCTCAGGAAATGATCCCCAGCATTCTGTGCCTTGCTCGGGATAATGGACTTTTATGATTACTTTGCTTTTCCTTAATTTCAGTTCTGGGATTACCCGTGACGAGCTTCACTAGGAAGTGCTGTTGGATCTGGGCAACCTGGTCTAGTGAAAGGTGTCCCTGTTCATGGGAGGCAGGCTGGAGCTAGCTGATCTTTGGCATCCCTTCCAACCCCAAACATTCTGCAATTCTGTGATTCTGTAAAAGCCACCGATGGTAGGGGCAACACACTGTGCTCAGCGCTCCAGCCCGTCAGCACTACTGGTGGTTTTGTTGAATTTAACTTACCTCTACTTAATGAAGTAGAAGCTTGTTTCTCTATTCCTGACCCCCACAGAAAATGGTGAGGAGAATATTCCTTCCCTTTTGCAGTAATTTTTTAACCGACTGGAAGACAATTATCACAACTGTGCTCTGTGCCTTCGCTGGAAATAATACCTTAGTCCATAGGCAGCAAAAAGTTGAAGGCCACTGCTCTGCAGTGACCAATGTTAAGCAAAACTCTCTTTCTCTGTGGATGCAGTTTGTGAAATAATTCCAGTTTTCTGGGCCGCCTTCTGATTCTCAGCATTTTTCTCCCAGCTGTCATTCACCATCCCCAGGGACTGAGTGCAGCTGGGGGATGGCTTGGCAAGCTGTGTAACCACATCTTTCTGCCTTCTGGTTTGGTTTGCTTTTCCTGCACTTGTGTAACACTTTTCACGAAAAAACAGTTCTGTCTTGCCTGATGCCAGTCTCCCCACAGTCCTGGGAACCAAGGCATAATCCTGCGTCTCCTAATGAAGCCATGGCATCTCCCCAGTCCCACACTCATTATGGAGCTCAGGCTACTCGTGCTGCCAGGCACAATTTCATGCCTGGCCAAACATAAACTATGCCTGGTCAGACATCTTGGGAATTAGGTGCTCATCTTTAATCTGCCATACACTTTTCCTGCCTCATTTAGCAAGAGGTACAACCTCTGTGCAGTTGGTAGAGAAAGCCTTACTGACATTTTAAGACTCTCACTTAAGTAGTATCAAGATGGCAAAAATACTACAACAGCCTTTTTTTCAGAGGTTTCTCTGCCTTACATGTTACTTCTTTTCTGGATAACATATTTGAATGACTTGGTATGAATTTACAAATATAAATGGAGAGTGCTACATTGAAAGAGTATTAGAGGCTATTTGCAGTGCTCTGTGTGACAGGGATGAAGGCAGGAAGACAAAGTTTATGTGCTCAGTATCCTCAGGTAGTAGACAGTTATGTGGCTGTGGGACTAGAGAAAATTCTTGTAGTTTTGTAAAGGTTATCTTAATCCACTTTTGCCATATATTAATGTACATCAGTCTTAACCTTTTCCCAATACCGTTTTTTATTGTAACAGTGATAGTAAATAGTTTAAAGCAATGCCCTGTCAGCCTGGCTGATCTCTTGCACAGGTTTTATGGGAGAGGTGGACCAGTCCCAGTGCTAATGTCACGTCATCATTAGCAGTATTACATAAAATTGTCCTTAAGGGATGGAAACGGATGATGATACTGAGCAGAGCACTCCTGTATCTGCCCAGAACCAAGAGAATGAAAATGACTGGCTTTGGGGCAGTGAATCCAACCACAACAAGATTTCATGGAGAAAGATGCAAAATACAGAAGATAAACGTTCGCTAAACATCAGTACTTTGGAGAAGTGTGGTATATAATCACCAAAGCTGCTAAACCTAAAACTAATACAACTTTACTTTTCAGCCACCCCTGAGATAATAACGCTCTGGCACCTCTTTTCATCCCAACTGTGTGTGCTGGGTAGTGTCGGGCCACATCGCCCAGCTCATAAAGTGGACAGAATATTGCAATCTGCTTCTCACTGATCATCTTTAATATTTTCACCCAATTGAGAGCTCATTTCTGAAAGATACCATGACAGGGAGCTAAGCATTATAATGGTGCTGCACTAAAAGACTTTTTTCGGGAGTATTTTGACTGACTGATTAGGAGCTTCAGCTCAGGGACAGCCTTCTGGGCATTCACTGCAATGTTTTGGTACTCCTCCTTTCTTGCTTTGTGTGAGCCTGTTTTCCATATCTTCCTTCCAGGAAAGGACAACTTCACAGAGCAAAATTGATGAAATGATGTTACCCAAAGGCTGCTCTCAGATGGTAAATGCCAGCCCATGTACCCTGGCTGCAGGCACTGTTCCCTTGCTTTTCACCCCAAACCAGAAACAGTGTTGTGAAACAGCAGAGACCTCTGAAACAAAAAATATCTTTCACCACCCACACAATACTGTCGGCTGTGCCAAATCTGCACATCCCTCCCCCCCCCAAAAAAAATGCATTGTTCACCACTGAGAAACTAAATGTGGAGAGAGTTTGGTTCTTCCATTTATCTGGATACTTTCAAGACAGCTTGATTCACCAGAGGATGCATCTGCATAATGTAGCTTGGGTCCTTGGGGGTAAAAGTGAGCTCTGTGTCCTGGAGGGGAATGTAACTGTGTGCTGGAGTAGGAATGGATATGATGGTGTTTTTCTTCACTGAGAAACAACAAGCAGGAGGAGGTAACAGGGTGATAAAAATTGAGCTCCTTGGCACTTTCCTACCAGAGCAACATATTTCACATTTAAAGGCCCTGAGAGGCCTTTCTTCTCTTGTTTTTGGAATGTGAGATGTGGCGTAATGAACACTGAATGTTTTACAGAAGACAGCTGGACAGCAGCAGCTCATTTTGGAAAGCACACAGTCCTTCCTCTCTCCTTGTTTAACTGGCTCCAGGGTCTGCGCTGCAGCCCAGACCAAGCATCCCCCTGCCCAGGGAGACCCCTGCTTCTGACCCACCCTGGATCTCCCTCCCCACTTGGACGGCTGTTGGGGCAGGACAGGGGCTGAACCATAGTCTTGTCATAATCGGGTTAAACTGGTTTGCTCAAGAGCAGGCAGCTGGAGAGCAGCAGCCTGGAGGAAGCCAGCTCTGTGCCTGTCACTGGCTTACAGGATGCCAGGCTGCAGGATCTGAGTGTCCCAGGAGAGGCTCTGACAAAAGGCAGGCCATTGTGCCCAGCTTTCCTCCATGACTCCAGGGTAGCAACTTGCTTTTATTAGAAAACGGAAGCTGAGCTCCATATCTAATCCTAGGGCCAGGCATCTGGAGGCTGAGGAAAGGCTTTGTGAAGTGTTTGCCAGTCAAATAATAAGATTGAAAACCCAGTATACATTTAAATAATGCACTTGGGAAAATGTCTGTGCCACAGAACCCTTGTGTTGGGTGCTTGGATGAGAGATGCATACGGGACAGAGGGAAATTTCTGATGCACAAAAACTCCCACTGAGGCTTTAGTGCCTCAAATCCTGCACTCCACTGAAGTTGCAGTCTTCGAAGTCTGTGACTGAGCATGTAAAACTAGAAATCTTTTTATTTCTGCCATTTAGTCAATGCTTTTAACAATAAATGTTAATCTCTCAGCACTGGTGTTCTTCCCCTCTGCTGGGATGGGGGATGTAGCTCACAGATCCATGAGGGGTGTAATCCAGTGCTCCCTGATTCACCATGACCCCAGGACAGGAAAGGGGAGCTCCAAAGTGTTCCTGAGCTCTGCACATCCAATGGGAGATGCATATGATATTTTACTTCTCCTTCTCCATAGCAAATACAAAGAGTCACCGAGCTGAGGATCTGCAGGAATTGTCATGAGCTGTATGGAAGAAAGATGCAGGGCAGAAAATTCCTTCTGGGACTTCCTGTCTCAAGCTGTCAATTTGTCCATGATATTTCAAAGCCATCTTTAGAAGAACACCTTATCTTGACTGTGGAGATAGCAGGTTTATCTTAGAAAAATTCTCATAGGATGACTGTGAATAAAAGGCGCACTCTTTATTTCTCATCCATCAGAACAGCTCCCTTGGCCTGTCACTAGTGCCTGCTGCTCACCCAGGCTGAAATTTATACTGGTGCAACCTGAAGCAAAGGAAATGAAAGTCTCAGTGCTGGTGCTGTAAGCTCTGCTGTAGACAAATAATTGTTCAAGGCTATGCCATGTCCACATTTATCAGATTATTGATAGACCATAAACACATCTCTGTAAAGTCTCAGATTTATTGCTGTGGAGGGCAACCTAAGGATAAATTGAATTAAATAAAATCAAATTTGTACATCTCTAGGCTGCTGGATGTCTCTTTTAGTCTCCCCTGCAGATGCTGGATGTGATGCTTTGGATCCCTCGTGGTGTTACACCAATGGTGTTCCATGCCCATCAATGGGGTGATGCTGGCTTACACCAGATGAGGATCAGATCTGTAGCACTATGTCTGTCCACCTCACATTTGGTTTCATACTGCAGTCAGATTGTACCAGATTTGTTAAAATATGTTTAAACATACAAGAAAATGGACTAGAGGCATGATGACCCTTTTCCTCAGGTCAAGGAGAACTTGGAGCTTCACTCCACATGGCACATCCAATCCAGACATGCCTGTCCACACAGAGAGGCTGTGATGGCATGAACAGACCTTCGGTCCAACAGGAGTTTCCCAAGGCAGCCTGTGAGTGAGGAAAATCTGCTGAAATGCCTGAAGGACCACCAGGGCCATCCTGGAGGGCAGAGTAGTCCATGTGCTACATGTCCCAGCCATGGGGTTTGGTTACCCAAAGCTTTCCTCCTCAGGCAGGTAGTGGTTTGTGGCATCAGGTCACAACGTCACTGCCTTGCATCATGCCAGCTTGGCCAGCTGGTTCACAGTGGAGGAAATAAGACTTGGGTGCTACCACATCCCTGCCCAAGCTCTGCCCCTTGATTGCTCACGGGTACTAATTACAAAGGAGGCTCTTGCTCTGCTGCTGTATAATTATGCAAAGCACAGTCCGAGCCTTAATATAGCTCTGAGTGAACTGCTTTTGGTTTTCTATGAAGAGAAATTTAATTTTGGACCAAACAACAGAGCAGCCTCCCAACAATAGAATCTGTATGGAACACAGGGTAGACACAGTGTCTGAACTGGAGCTGCTTCCCAGGGGCTCTTGCAGGAGGTTGGTGTCTCGGTGCCTCTGTTGCCTTTGGGTTCTGAACTCAGGGTAGCAAGTTCAGAAAACTATTTCTTTCTCCATGGCAATCAAAAATTTGGGTTTGCAGAGGAGCAAGGGAGGGAAGCAGATTTTAGATCATGTGCAGAGGCAGCGTAGGAGGTGGGAGGATGCTGACTGCTGTTCTGGTTCTGTTTTAGAAGCAGCATATGACCACCGGAACATCAATTTCAGCGAAGAGTGTGTTGCCCTCTCCTCCATTGGAGCTTTCCAGCATGTGGCAGACTTGACGAAGAATTGCCGCTCTCCTGGTGCGCCCCAGCCCCCGGCGCGCGAGGATGGCCAGGATGTGGTCCTTCCTGAAAAACCAAACACAACCTCACTCAGACCTGGCAGGCAAAACCAGCCCAAAAGGTAACAACCAACAACCTCGCAGGAGATGGAGCAAGGACACAGCAAAGTGCCAGGGACCGTCCCCTCACCACGCTGGAGAAGCCACCAGGAGTTGGGTCTCCAGCCTCTGGAGGTATCAAGCCAGTGAACATCAGCTCCTGCCACACTGCACTGGTGGGATGCCCTCCTGCTGGCTGGTGCTTCAGGGAATTTCCTCTTCTGTCTCCACACACACGTGACGCCTATTTCAAGTTTCCCTGAGAGGCTGTAGACCTTTTGTTTAATGATTATTTTGAATTGAGTAATGAAAGTGCTAATATTTAGGAAGTTGACAGGCACTAATTAGATTAGAGCTGGGAAGCCAACTTGGAAACGTACCCTGTTCCAGTAATCTCGGTATATACAAATTCCTCAACGTCTCTGAGAGCTCAGGGGAAGAATTAAGAAACCTGAACAGGAAGCAATGCAGGTCCAGCAGGTTCCACCCCGTTTTCCAAACTTGATTGTTAAAAATAGTATTACTCAATAATGGAAAGTCAAAAATGAGATAAATCAAGAGGACGAGCCTTAAAACTTGGCTTGGGTCTGAGCCTAATGATGAAAAAGTACCACAAATTACAGCCTTGTAAGTGGCTTTTCTAAGTGGAAAGTTGTTTTCAAATAGTCATCACTGATGACTAGGCATAATTTACCTCCCCCATCCTTCCCAGAACAGGCACTGCCTCCTCCGTCAGCTTAATCTGGCCACTGAGATTAAACTTTTTTTTTTTTTAAATAGGTGTGTTCACCTAGGAAATTACTCAAGAACAATTTTTTTTTTCATGTCCACATCTTGAATTTCCCCGCACAGATAAGCCTGAAGCATATCTGACCCAGTAAAGTTAAATCTAGTTATGAAAAATTTTGAGCCACAGCTATGGGGGAAGGAAAACAGATTTAATGTGATTTTTTTTCTCAATATTTGAGGATCCACTTCAGTGTTCTGAGCAATTAGTTAAATTTATGGTTTATTTTGTATAAATGTCATCCATCAGAAACTGTGTAACCCTGTACAAAAATCTTTGGGTTCTTTTCCCTGAAATTACTCTGATGAAATGGAGTTTTCTGCAGTCTGTACCACTGATATTCATTCTCAGTTGCTGGTAGAAGAGCTGTAGAAGAGGAGATAACTCCTGATTGCAGCTGTTAAGCCATGCACAGAGCTAGTCACTTTGTTTACTTTTGTGGTAGTTTTAAACTTTTCAGATGCAGCTTTGGAACAGCAAACGGAAAGTATAAAAGAAAGAATATGTAATTTATTCCAAAATTTAATGGCTGCCTCACTTTGAAGTCTGAGCCTCAGAAGAGGAGACAAAGTATTTGCTTCAAATCTGGAGTCTGCAAATCAGCAAACTGGGCTGATACTGGTGATGCACTGAAATCAAACCAGAGCTTTACTGTGAAACAAGGTTCATTTGGAGAAAAAAAATAGAATTCAGTGATAGGATGCATGGGAATGGTTGAAAGCTGTGTCAGGGGAGTTCTAGACTTGACATTAGGAAGCATTTCTTTACTAAGAGGGATGTCCAACAGTGGAACAGGCTTCCTAAAGAGGCGTTTGATGTCCCAAGCCTGTCAGTGTTTAAGAGGCATTTGGGCAATGCCCTTAATAGCTTGCATTAACTTTTGGTCAGTCCTGAAGTGGTCAGGCAGCTGGACTGGATGATTGTAGTAGGTCCCTTCCTAATAGACTGAAATAGTCTATTCTATTCTATTCCATTCCATTCTAAAATAAAAAAGCTTTGAAGTTAATTTTGCATGCATCATAAGATCCAGCAGACAGGGGAAAAAAAGAGAAAGTATACAGACATAAAAAGAGAAAAATAAGATGGGATTCCCACTGTTGCTGGCACCCTGACCTCTAACATATGGCTGCCAACAATGAGGTGAAGAGCTCGGGATGGAGCCCAACAGTTCTGGCATCTGTCGTTTCATGTACCTGATATCTGGATAATTCTGACACAGCTTCTTGACGTACACCTTGATCTTGTCCTTTTTCTTCGCTTTAATGATCTTGGCAATGTGGTGTATGGCGGGAATGAGCCACTCGGAGTCAGAGCCCTGTGGATGAAGAGCCACATGGGGATGTCAGGGGGGAGAGCAGCACCTGCTAAATGCCTTTTTCCCTACAATGCAGAGCTGGGTGTGAGGCAGGACTGCTTCAGGCAGGACAGGCTGCCTCCAGCAGGCAGCAAGGTGCCAACAAGGAGTTCCCCCGAGGCCGGACTCTGCCCTTCCCGGTGCTCGTGAGCATCCCAGGGAGTCAGACCCTGGTCAGGGCACTGTGGCTGTGGTCTAGCACACAGGCAGATGCCAGACTTTACCTCCTGCTGCCTAATAATTTCACATGCCTTATTTTTGAGAGGGGATTTAGTGCCCTGGATGCCTGACTTTCTGCAAAATCCAATGAATTCAACTTTGGCTTCCCTGAAAATCACAGACTGATGTTGCTGTGGGAGACTAAAATGTTGAAGTTAATGACTCAAATAATCAGCCATTTTCAAACACGGCAGGGTGGTGCTTTGCCGAGGCCAGGTTTGCACCCAATGTTTGGGTGTGTGGTGGCAAAACCTCTGATCTGTGTAAGAACAGCCCAGGTGCAGAGTGCGTGAGCACCCACCACCGGAGGGTGACCGTGACAAACTAACCTTTTTTTTAGCAACAAGGAGGTTTTTAAGCCAGATAAGGAAAAAGCCAACAGGAAGCAGATCCTGCGAGGTGGAATAATTTTTTTTATCATGCCAATTTCCTTCTTTACACAGCTGGTTCATGTGTAAAACTCCCTCTTCAGGGGAGGTATTGGGACATTCACACATATCTCTTCTGATAAGACATAACTGGCTCAACTACGCAGGTGTGAGAAAGAGCGGTCGTGTTTTAGAAGGGGTCATGAACCACCAAAGACTCCAAAGCTCCTCCAGACTCACTTCTGGGGCCTTCCAACAGAAGACTGCATATTATCCACAGCATTATATCAGACAGTGAGAAACTCCTGCCCCCTGCCATCCCCCACTGGGAGGTACCTGGGCATTCCCACCTGAACCCATTAAACCCATTGCAGGCTTCTCCCACCCCTGATGGATCAAGACTGCAACCATCACTTTGACCAACAGGCATCTAAATTGTGACAATCAAGCCTTGTCGCTGGATCCATGGGTGGGGATATCTTTCCTCTCCACTACCTACTCTTTCTTCCTTTCCTTCATATATTTTCTTAAGCGATATCTTTATACCTTTATATTGTTATATTACTATAGATAATAACCAAAATGGCTACATCCCTCATGTCCATTGCAATCAAATTGTTCTAAAATAAATCTGCCATGTATATATATATATATATTTGTAAACACTGGTAATTCAGTGTTGTTTCACTCTAATCTGCCCCAAGGGATCTATTAACAAGAACCTCAGTTACCTCACCTTCAGGGATGGGTTGTAACTGGCCTAGTCACAAAACACGCAAAGCTGCCACTGCAGAGAGGCTGGTGGGCTGGAAGCCCACACCATGAACCTGCAGTAAAACCTCACTTGCTCTCTTTTAAGGACTTCTATACTTCTTGAGGCTTGGCCTCCTCAGAAGCCTGCCGCCTTTGTCTCTGAGAAGCCAAGTGGGAATATTGTACCTCTGGGAATGGGCCAGGAGAGAACTCACATACCTGATCAATGAGAGTATTATGAAAGATTCTGGCTTCCAGATCCATCTTTTTGCTCACTTTTTGCCGTGTCTCCCTGTTCATTCTCCATCTGTGTTTGATGACCTGTGTGATATATTCCTTCACCACGTATCTATGAACTTCACGTAGAAGCTCCTGGATAAAAAAAACAAACCTCATGGTTTTTCTGTGGTTCCCGTACAAGGCCAAGGCAGTGAAAGAGGGCAGGGAAAGCTCTTAGGTCTTTAGCAGCACCTGAGGGCACAGAGGAGGTACATGAAGGCAACACACCATCAGCACATGCTGCCCAGGCCAGCCCGATGAAAGGAATCAGTGGCTTACAGTCCCTTGCTCTGGCACAGAGCAGTGGCTGCACCCGAGGGAATGCCACGGAAATACTCCTCATCCTGAAATAGCCCACGACTTTATGTTGGTAGTTTGGCTTCTCAGTAGCAAAGGGGGATATTTTGGATTGTTTTAAAAGCCAGTTTTAATGGTTCTTGCAGATTTTAAATATAGAGCAGTTGTCACCTATCTCTGTATTTCACAACTGCATAGATGTGAAAGGAGCACGTAAGCCTGGAACTCATGGAATTGCAATGTTCAGCGGCAATTGTCACCACAGCTTTCTGTTCCTCTTTAAACAAAATCAGTTTCTGTATTTGAACTACAGGGAGGAAAGTTGTTCTTTAATTCACATGTGGAAGTATGGAAATATCTAAACTCCTTTGCATCTGCAGCTCCCACAGTTATAAAGAGCAACCATCACTGTAGAGGAGTCTGCAGGTCTGACCATAGCCTGAAAATGACATTGTGACCCCTCCAGCATCGCTGTGCCCAGGTGTGGGATCAGTGGCCTACCTGACCCGTGGGCTTCCTCATGTGCTGCAGGTGCTCGGAGAACTGCGAGACTGCTGACGCCAGTGAGTCCGGCCTTGCTGTATCCAAAATCCAGTCCTTGGTCAGGATTTTCTTAAGGAATGGCTGAAAAAAGACCAGCTCACTGATGGCACTGGTAACATTCAGACTAGCTGATGCCCAAGCGGAAGGCACTCAGCTGTACACCTGCTGGCTTGAAACAAAAATCACAGAGCACTGATGGCACACCCCCTCTGCATGAAGACACACCCAGAGCACAGAGCAGGGTGAGATTCTCTCTCCACCCCAGGGAATTCAGACTCATGTCTCCCTTTTCTGGGTAGGCACGCCAGTGCAGAGAGGAGAAGCATCACTCCCTGAGCAGGAGATGTTTTGGCATTAAAGGCTTACTTGAGATATCTCATTTCTTTTCTCTGTGCCACCTTCTGATCCACTAGCTCTATTTCTTTGGGTAAATGAATTTGTATCCCTACTGCATAGGTGAAGAAACAGATGTGAATGTTAATCACAGAAAACTCAGGCATGACTAGAACAAGCTGTGGTGTGCAGCTGTGTATGTTAGTGTTACTTGGGTTTGCACCAGCTATGGAAGTGACAGGTCACTTGGGAGTGAATCTGTTGGAAATTAGCCCAGTAATCCATCACCCCTACAGCCTTGTCCACAAGGAAATCAAGCTCCTCATGTTCACAGTCCTTCCAGGAGGCTATCTGTACTCCTGCAGACCTGCATGAAGTCTCACTGGGATTTTCCTTCTGCTCCTTGGCCTAATGTGATGGGAGGGGAATAGCAGCTGGGAGCATCTCCAGCTTGATGCCTCATGGTCAGTGATGACATGGGAGTTATGGCACTGTCTCACATCAGTCCTGGGTTCAAGGTACTCTGACCAAGTGTTCTCAGTGGGTTATTGTCCTTGCTGGGTCCCTAGACTTAATGTGCCTTCACATAGAAACACAGCAATATCTGCTAAAGACTTCTGGAAGAAACTCCCCTAAGGGCCAAATGCAAAATATCCCTTCTCTGGCACATCCTCTTTGTACTTTTCTCCTCTTAGCTCTCAAGATCTCTGGCTTTAGACTCCTGGCAATCTCCTTCCCAATTATTTCCCCCTCCTTGTGCTCTCCTGCTATGCTCCCAGCATGCTGAATCATAGAATCATAGAATCAGCTGGGTTGGAAAAGACCTACAAGATCACCAAGTCCAACCCTTGATCCAACACTGCTGTGGTTACCAGATCATGGTACAAAGTGCCAAAAGGGCTGTTTGGAAATGCTTTGCTTCGGCCTCTCTCAGTTCTCAAATTTTGGGTCTCTTGCTCAATGCCTTGGCTTGACTCCTTTCCTTGTCTGCCACTTAGGCTCCAAGACAAGATCTGCAGTCACTGGAAAGTCCCCTTGGCCAGGCAGGCTGGGCTTAGGTTGCATCAGTTCCCACAACTGCCTTGGTTTCTGAAAGTTATGTTTGGGGATTTAGAAAGTGAATGAGGTTGAGTGAAAAAGGATGTGACCAAAGGCTTGATTTGCCTCATCTCTTGTATTATACCAGCTAGAGCTAGTGGGCCTCAGCTGGCTGAGACCAGAAAGTCCCATCTACAACACCTGGGAAGCACAGACTTCATTGCAGCACATCGCATTGCATTTTAGGCCTCAACACAAGTTAAGCTGATATCAGAGCTTTATCAGCTGATACCAGAGCTTTAGCATCCTCATGCTGGAAAAATCAGCCTTTCTTCACCATGGGAACAGCCTGGAAAAATCACCTCTACCAGAATTAATTCTGTCCTGTCTGAAGAGGCTGCTTACAGACCATGGTGGCAGATCAACAAATCAGTAAGAATAAATCAAAGTCCTGAGAAATCCAAATGTTCTAGTAGAAGAAAAAATGTCTCATTGGTGGTGTTCAGCTGACTTCCCCTGTGCCTCATTATGGGTAAAGTTTTTCCCCACTGCTTTGCCTGAGATACTGGAAGCCACTAAATACCCTTTTCTTTTGATTATTGTAAACAGCTTGACAAAGGTATCCTTGCTCAAAGCAAAAAGCTCCCAGGATGCTGGAAGTGTTGCTTTGAGTTAAGGAGGATTTCTACAGGAGTGTTAGGCTTGATGCATTTTGGAGGGACCATAATGTCATGAGCTGCAAAATGAGGTCTAGTTGGTGAGACAAGGGAAGGACAATGGCTCTCAGCTTCTGCAGTGGTCCTGCACATACCCCTTACATTGAGGAGATAACATGGACAAGATCCTCTTACCTCTGCTTTTGTTCTTAATTTTGTTAGAAAAATATTTGTGAAGTTCCTTGTCAGAGCTGCCAAAATCTTCTGCAGTTCCTCAATGTTGACTTTAAACTCTGTTTCTAACCCTGACCTAGAGAGAGAGAGAGAGAACACCAGTGAGTTGATGTTAAAATGTAAACTATTACAGTGCCCTAAGCATTTTATCTGGATTGGCATGTTGGATATTATATTTAAATAAACTTGTGTTTGTAGTACTTCCTCTTGGAAACACTTTATGGGTCAAAGTAATGGCTCCTTTTGCACAATCCTGTGCACTGAAAATGAGTCATAGCTGTGACTGTGCTTAAAAACCCCTCAGATTTCCTCATCAAGCAGGATGGTGCAGCCATGCGGAGCAGTTGCATAGGCTGGTTGCTCTTTCACTTGAGCAACACCTCTGCTAAAGGATCTGCAAGTACCTGGGAGAGCACTGAGGGGCTGTGGGTGAAGAAAGAAGTAAATAATAAAGCCAGAGAAGGGAAAGTTGCTGACCCTGTGTCCCTCAGAGCCCGTCTGAGTCACTCCATGCAATATCTGTCATCAGCAGCTAGGATGGGGACTATGGGCATGGAAACCTGTGGAATTTCCTAAGGGCAGTGCGTACTTCTGCAAGGTTTCAACCCATGAGGAAGAAAACACAACTTCTGAGAGGTTAAGGGATTCCCCAGTGTGTGTGTGAGCTTTGGGGGCATTGTGAGCTCCTGTCTTTCTTCTCACTTTCCATCCCTGTCCCGCTGTGACACACTTTGGGGGTGGGGTGGTGGGGGAACTGAGGAAGCAAGGCAACACCAGTGGTGGACGAGCTTCCATGGATGTGCCATATCCACTGCTGTGACCACAGAGAGCGGGAGGTTCCTGCCTCTGCCCAGTAGCTACTTTATATGTCTGGGGTTGCCCAGGCAGGACTATAAAGCACTCAACAGCATCCCTGTCATGCCAGGCTGGAGCTCAGGGCTGCAACTCCCATTGAATTCTGGGTCCAGCATGCAAAAAAATCATGCTGCTAGGTCATCTAGCTCTGCCCAGCACTCATCACCCCAGGCTGATGAATAGGTAGCTTGACTCGGGAATAAACCCAGCAGAGCCAATCCGCCACCCAAACACTGCCAGCTCCCTGCCTGGGGCTGGCGTCTCCCTTCACCCTCTCGCCAGTCTCCAGCAGGGAAAGGGAGAGCAATTTTCCGCGGGGTCAGGAGGAGGCAGTGAAAGCCAGCTCCTCGGCGAGGTTAGCATTGCTGGAGAGACCGTGCCATCTAGAGACTTCCCGACGGTAGTGCTCACTGCGGCTGGAGCCGTCGGCTCCTGTGAGACACCGAACACGAAATCCTCTCCATCCCCTCAGTATCATTTGGCATACAGCATCCCCGCCGGAGGCAGTGCCAGGCAGCAATGCAGCAACATGAGCTGGAGATCACAACCCAAGCTTTTTGATGGCCAGAGCCCACGCATTATTCCTGTGTTGTTTTGCTGGGTTGGCCTCTGAAGCACCACATCTGCATCACAGAGATGACTCCAGATGCTGAAGAGCCCCTGGGCCTTGGTGGGCCATGTCCCTGCGTGGCTGCAGACCATCCCCCTGGGGCAGGCATATGAACAGCACCAGTATTCCGTGGAACTGGCACTGGGGGGGCTGTGGCAGCTGTGTGAGCGGCTGCAGAGTGGGATGTGCAAGGTCATCATGTGCCGCAGCACTGGGCTGAGGGACCAGACCCTGGGACATGCGCTCGCTGGCACCATCCTACTTATGGGGAGAGGTATAGTCAGATCTCTGATAGTCAGCACTGATGATACCTGTTCATCAGAGGCACTTTTCAACACATGGCTTGAAATAACTAATTCATGCAAAACCCTGGAAGTTCCAGCTGCCAGATGCAATGGCAGGGGTTTATTTTCAGGTTCAGTGCTTTCATAGAGTTTCCTCCAGCCCAGTGCCAAAGGCAGCCTTGAGACCGTGTTTCTGGGTTTATACTGCTAACCTCCAGAAGAAAACGTGGAAAACCCCCTCCTCTGAGGCTGAAAATGAGTTTAAAACTTTCATGCAAGCACTGCATCTGTTCGTGTTTCTGTCTCTTCACGCCTGTGACTTTTATTTGCATCCCTTGGTGAAAATCCTCCTGTCAGGTTAGAACGGCTGGAGGTTGAGCACCCAGCGGGGCACCCCAAGGAGACCTTGATCTTTCCTTTACAAATGCTGTTACCCTCCCAGACCCCAAAAACATGGCATCTCAGCTCAGGGGGAGTGGACTTACATTAGGTCGTGGAAGCTGTTGATGTAGGCAACAACACAGGGTGCAAAGATGGGGTTGTCCTGGGCAGTGCTCCAAGCCTTCTCAAACTCCTTCTCAAACCTGTAAGAAAAGACACTCAGGTAACACTTAATAGTGGGGGGACTGAGGATGGCTCATCTTCTGTGTACGTGGTGATGTCAGGAGACACCCGTGGCTGGCCCAACCTGTCCCCTCTGTACGCAGACATTTTTTTTCCAGTTGTCACAACATGTGTGTGCATTGGAAGAAAGTAGATGGCGGATAATTACGGGTTTAGGATGCACTCGCCTGAGCAGGTATGGAGCACTTTTGGAGAGATGCCAGGGATGTGGGCAGGCCAACTCTTACTTTTCCTCATGCTGAGGGTTTAATTGCGGCTGTGGTACTCAGGCTTGTAAGTCTGGACCTTCATTTTGCTGGCTTTTGGGACAATATATTATGTGCCTTCTTAAGCACAACACAGGCAAAGGATTTACCTGAGGGCTGATTTTACAACAGAAGGTGAATAGGAACAGGGCAGCACATCTGACTTTTCTTCCCCCTAACCTCAGTGTCAGGTAGCTTTCTTTTGTCTAGCACAGGTTCTATGGTTTTTGCAGCTGTTTTACAGACAAGTCTGTGCTGATGACAGGAAGCTGTGTGCTCAGGAAGGCTTTGTTTGATGGTCCCATTCTTTGTCAGGGTAAAGGGATCTGCTTAGGCTGGCCTCAGGCATTTGTATCTCAGGTTTGTTTCCATAAAAGCTTAAGTTTCAGTGGTCTTTTAATCTGAGAGCTGTTGCTGCCCTGGTTTGGATTGTAGAGCATTTTAAAAAAGGAACAAAAAACCCAATAAAAAAATAAAAGGAAAAAGTAAAAGAAAAAATAATTAAAAAAGAGAAAAAAGAAAGGGGAAAAGAAGAACAAAGAAAAAAGAAATAAAAGAGAAAAATAAGAAAAATGAGGGAAAGAAAAGGCCAGAACATCACTGCCTTGTTTCTGCTCGAAAACCCAGGCAGACTTCAAAGCCAAATAGCTGGTTTGAACTACCCTGCTCACTCAGGGCATGGGAGAGAAGTATAGACCACTGGGCTACTAGAGATAAGGGTTTAGAAGGGAAAGTGTTGCCTTCAGTGCAGTCTGGACCCCTGCCATGCCCCAGGTTCATGATGGGAGAAAGCAGTGCTCAGGCTCCCCACCCATGCTCCTGCATTAGCAAACTGCACACTGGGTGCCTGCCGGAGGTGGGAAACTTCAAAGGTTAATGCAAAGTTATTTTTAGTCTCGCTCATAGTTGATTCATGTCAAACAGCCTTTCTCCTCTGCAGATTGCTGCTCCAGCAAACATCCATGGACATCCCAAACACAGCCCTGACAGAGGGATCAGACAATGTGTCACTGTGCTGGGACCCTCTGCAAGCCTAAAACCCTCTCTGGAGCATTCCCAAAGCATGTTGCAGCGGGTAAGATCTGAGGCCACAACGCGGAGACTACCAAACAAAAACCCATTATTTCAGCAATCTCCCTTGGACAGTGGGTGAATTTTGAAGAGACTCATAAGGCAGCTCAGCTGTATGTTTTGCCCAGGTGTAGCAGAGAGGGTCTCACCATCCATTTTTATGCCCAAAGATATGGGAGGTCAGAGAAAACCCTCTCAGCATGACTCACCCTAGCACACCTAGATAATCTTTTAGGCAAACAGGCATTGGGTATGAGGGGTCCATAACTGCTGCTTGCTCATGGCTGAAGCTGCAAGGTGCAATTGGATGCTGAAGCAGCATCCAACGCACAAAGGTCCTGGATGGATGTGATCACAGTGGCACCATCCCTTTCCAGACAGCAGCTCCTTCCTGGAGCTCTGGCATTAGATTCTAAGATTTGCAAGAGTCTGTCTGGGTCTATTTATGACTCCCTCCAGGCTGTTCTGCAGCTCGCTCGTTATTTGGCTCATTGTAATCTTTAATTCTCCCAAGAGCAGACCTATGCCCGCTTGATGCCAGCATCTGGTCCTGTGCACAGACCTTTTCCCTGTGTTTTTACCAGTGCAAGACTCATTTGAAAAGAAAGTACTGCCAGGAGTGGTGATGACCTTGGTATGAATTCAAGCAGCTCTGTCATGCACAGTTCAAGCATTTTTGTTTCCAGGCTTCTGCTGATAGCTCCAGATAGCTTCATGTGCTCCCCAATGATCTAGAAAAGGGCACAGAAAAGCTCCAGTGAATGGGACAGGCACAGGAGAAACATCCTTCCCAAGGATCTCATGCAGCTTTGGTTAGTAAGGATGGCTCGCCTAGCAAAGGGGCAAACAGCCAACTTGTTGCCAGGAGATTTTCATTATTCTCTGGCAGTTTTAAAAATTATAATGCAGAATGGGCCAAGAAGCACCAATTGATTTGTGATATAATCATTCATCCCTAATGGTTTTGTGTCCTTTTGCTGTCTGAGTGTGAGTTAGAGGCTGTGTTGGCTGGAGATCCGACCTGCCCCAGTGTCATCCTCCTCTTTTGGGGGGTTTGTGGGAGGGATCAATTGGCAACCCAAAGCCCAAGGGAAGCTGAGTGGTTCCCAGGTATGACTCCATGATAAGGATGACTGTAAGTCCCATCCCTAGAGGCCCACACAAGTCCCATTCTCAGGAGTGATAACAGGGCAGCACGGAGGGTCAGGCACCATCCTGAAGCCTTGTTTGCACTGGGACTCCTCCTGGATTCCCATTCCCACAGTCCTGGCTGCACCTCCAGAGTGAGGCATGTTGTAGTCCTATTCTGGTGCTTCCCAAGGCCTCCTATCCATCTGCTAATCCAATTCAGACCTGCCTTCCCCATGATCACATAATGTGTAATATTTCTCTAAGGAAAAATAGTCACGGCAGCAGGCAAAACTCTTTGATTTTCTTTCTCTCTCCCTCTCCTTTTTGTTAGTATTATTTAATTGAAGTGACTCAACCAATTGAGTGAGGAGAATGAATCCAAACCCCTCCTGGATTTATTACCCTGTAGTCCCTAAACTGGTAGGAGCTTTTGTTTTTTGTACTGTTTAAATTGGAGTGGCTGTTACTGCCTACGGCCTTTCCACAGTTTCCACAGCCCCGGGACAAAATTGTTCTTTAAGCCAAGGTTTTTTTTCTAACAAACCTTTTCTTTCTATCTTTTTTTTCACTTTCTCTTTCTTCTTTCTAATCAAAGAGGCTTAGGGACTTTAAAATCAGTTGCCTATTATGTTGCTGACACAATTGACAGCAGGTTTAATTTGCAGCTAGAAGGCAAGCGGGAGAGCCAGAAGTTGTAATAAATGGCATTTTCTGCTCTAATGTATTCTGCCAGTGCGTGACTTACATAAATTATGGCAGGAGGCGGTACCTCCACCCCAGAAGGTAACAATCCAGTTTCCCTGGAGCCACAGAGCCCCCCCCCAACATTACCCCAGCTAATTAAATACCGTTTGAATATCAAAGGAGAGCGAGGCGTGGTAGAGGTTTTCCTTCACTTCTGAATGAACTTCCTTCTCCCACTTCTCTGTGACCTCTAGTCTCAGGATGTTTCCAAAATAACTTTTGATTTTCTCCTAAATGTTAAACATAGGAAGGAAACATGCAACTCAGGATAAGGAAGCAAACATGAATACAGCGGCTCACTGCATTTTGCTCCGTTGTCACGTGTGTAAGGTTCACGTGTGCAGCATGGAAAGGTAAGCAGAGTCACAGGTGTTGCTCCAGTCCTGTCAGTCTAAACAGGATCTCAGGAGAAATCAGGAGCTGTGCTGTGTGTGGGCAAGGTACTCTCATATCAAAGGAGAGTCATTCTCCTGGCAGGAAATAGTATGTCAGCTGTTTGCTTGATTACAAAGTCCTCCAGCACATGGAATGCACCAGGTCAGGATTAAAGATCAAACCGGTCCTCTCCAGAAGTACAGCCACTAAAGTAAGCAGCAGCACTGTTCAGTCCTGGCTGATAAATCAATCTTGTTGTTGGTGAAACAGTGATCTTTCACCAGCATGCCGGAGCAATACTGATTTCATTCAGCTGGGCACCTTGAGCTCACCTTGATCAGTGCCCTGTTTCAGAAATGGTTTGCAAGAAAATGACTGAGCACAGCAAAAAGCCAGGAAAGCTTGTAGTCTTACAAAGGGTGCCAGCAAGGACTGCAGAAAAACAACTGCAGAAGGAGCTTCCTCAGAGGACATGAACCATGGGGGTGTCTTCTGGTGGGGATGCTGAAAGTTGTCTGCCTGTAGCAAACCTCAGATGTGCTGGAGGAGATCCCACACAGTGACAGTAGCAGCTAAAATGCCTTTACACCTGGCTTTGCAGTGCATTCAATCTGATAAAGCCCAGCTACAACCTTTCATTAAGCCTCTGCCACACTGTGTGGGTCTGGTACAGTCCCTTTGACTCAGCTTGGGTCCCTGAATTGGTGTTCAGGACCTTCTTGTTTTTTACTAAAGGCCATTCTGTGTGGTGGTGGCAGGACTCAGCACCTGGTGGGGCTAGAAACTGCAACACAGTCATCCAAGACCCCTGCCAGGGAGGCTGGGGCTCCTGTACCTTCCCTGAGGGGGCGTGTGGGGACTAGGTCAAAGCTCTTACCTTTGCAGAAGCAATGTAGTTGTTTTTCAGTTTATCCCAGTCAGCTGGTGTTAACAGCAGGGACAGGTTTTCTGTCTTAACCTCTGGTTTGAGATCAGGGTGACCCAGAAAGAGTTCACTGGAAAGATTCAAATGAACAAATTATATTGCCTCAGAGTGTGAATAAACTGATGGAATATTCATGCAGCATGAACTACGTAATTATTAAGCCATGAGAAATATATTTAAAGCTTAAATTGTGATGCCTGTTTTCAAGATTTAACAAGAAAATCTTTCCTTGCTATTCACAATCCTAATTATTCAAACCCAAAATGATGTGAGGTTCCAGCCCACCTCAGAAATCATGAGACTTCTGAGTTGTTTGGACATGAAAAGTGCTATGAGAATTTACTTTTTAAAATAAACAACCTGAAGCTGATTCATTCGACTATGAGCTTGCAAAATGCCTTTCAGGGTAATTCCTGTAGTAGCTTGTTGCTTTGTCGCTAGCCGATCCTCCTGGCTCCTCTCCCGTATCACATCACGGCTCATTATCAGCCTGTTATTCTTCTCTGTGCATTATCTGGAGCAAGGGAAGGTGGAAGAGCAGGACCTGCTCCGTGCAGGGCAGCCCCTGGAAGGTGCTCCCATGCCTGGGATACGAGCCATGTCCCCCGCAGATGGAAGTGGTGGGTGGATGTGCAGCTACAGAGTCTGACTCCAAAGTGTGCTCAGCTGACACACGACTTTACCATTACCACTCACTTTCCTCTGGACTGACATGTACTCAGACCAGCTGATTAGCCTGGAAGCAGGGAAAGGGAGGGAGTGCTTGTGTTTCTCCCTCTAGGGCAAGAAACATGTCAGTAGCCTGTACAATTGAATGTGCTGCTCTTGCAATCTGCCACGGACCGTGGAGGCATTGCATCTTGCAGGGTGATGAAGGTGGAAAATGGAAAGAAGAAAATATTTATGCTCTTGATGAAGGTAAGGCCTAAGTTTCAAGCAGTCACCTGGTTACCAGGGAACACAGCTGTGATGTCCTACACACGGCCTGCTCATTCGCTCAGGAAAAAAGGGTTCCCATTGCCAAACCAGCACTGCGCCCACAGTCAGGTTCGGATCCAAGTGAGGATTGTACTGTACAAGGTCAGCCTGGTGCAGAGTGACTGCTCAGCAGAAAATAAGCTCAGCTTGCTGATAGTGTCCTGGAGTCAATGGTTCCACAGTCATGGTTTAGATTTCCCAGAGAGGTACATCTGCACATGTGGAGCATTGCACACCCCACTGCTGCCAGAGTCTGCTGCTCATTCAAACGGACATCACAGATCTAAATACAGACTCTCCACCACAACTGAAAGGACTGTCTCAAGTGTATACTTGAGGAGCTTATTCCCCGCTCTTTCTTTTTTTTTCATTAATTTGAATTGTAACACCAATAATGAGTTTCAGTCAGACGATTTCTTCTTTTTTGGAACGGGTTCCAAGGAGTAATGAAATGAAATTAAATTAAATTAAATTAAAACAGCCCAAACCATCAAGGTGATTGCAAACAGTGTCCCAAACAGCTGCAACCTCTTAATAAGCTTTTTCACAGCTTAGTTAAAGAAATATGGGGGGGGGCATTTTTCTTTCATGCAGAACCTGGCTGCTGAAGTTTGTTTCTTTCCCCTCTCTCCTGCAATGCTGGGGTGCAGTACAGTTCCCAGGGGCTGAGGACATGCAGGAATTTCCCTCCAGATGAGATCAGTAAGGCCTGATGATGCTGAGGGGGTTACACACATCATCATGGTCACCACACTGTAAATAGGGTTTTAGGAGTAACTGGACAAGTTCACAGAAGAAATATGTTGAGGGCTGCTCAAAACAAAGACTACCTGCAGTGCGAGTGTTTCTTACCCAAAAGCTACTTCAGATTAGGGGTGCTCTGGGAAACCATGTACTGTTGCTTGCCCTGCTCCACCACTGCCTCCCTCCCTGATCATTTTTGCCCACTGTTTGACTTAGTGCTGATATTCCTGCCTTCACTCCCTCTTTGTTGTTTTTTGGGGGGTTTTTTGAGGGCTGTCAATTGCTTTGCATTTGTCCCTTTCTTGGGCATCTGGTTCAGGCCATTCTTGGAGACCAGCTACTGGGACAGACACAATTTTGCTTTGACGTGACTGTTCTCACATGCTTATTTCCAGGCCCGTCTCCTGTGAGTGTTGCTTCTCATCTCCTTCCCACCTCGCTGTGTATCTCTGTTGAGTTTTAGTCTGAGAGCTCTTTGGGGCTGGGGTGATGGTCTGTGGTGTAGGGCAGGAAATAACTGAGGACACTGACACTCAATGCATGGACCTTCTGTGAGTGCCTATCTAAGATGTCTTCATTGGCTGTACAAGCAACACAGTTTTTATGGCTTTTACAAAAAATTCCCGCCTGTACACCCAGGGTGCCCTGAGGGCAGTGTTTGCTATGTCCCTACAGCTCCTAGAATATTTTAGTCACCCCTGAATTGCAAGGAGCCTTAAGAGGTTCTAGAAACCTCTCGTTCAACTAGCAGACACATATAAGACAGAGCCTTTGTTTTTATGTGGATAAAAATTCCACTTGATGATGTCTTGGCACCTCCTCAAGAGAACTCTGACCCTATGCATGGGGGTTAACGTGGCCCATTGTCAAATGCATCACAGTTTTAATTAAACAGGAAAAAGATCTCCCCCACACGTCCCTCCCTGTGCCTGGAAAAGTCACTGAGCAGCTGTTGGATCTTGCAAAGTATCTGCAGAAAGGAGCAGGTTTATCTGAGCTGTGAGGAGGAGCTTCCTGCCATGTGGGAACAGCAAGTGGGACAGGGAGGGGAAAAAGGGGGTGAGGTAGGGGGTGATCTTTAAAAAACAGCAAGTGCTTTATCCACAAACCTTTGTCCCCACCTATTAACAGACTTGCTATCTGGCTCCACTGTAGAAGTCACTGTGTCTCTCTTGTTCACTTGGAAAATGCAGAATAGCTCAGTGCTTTTGGAGTACCCCAATGCCCTGCCACTCTCTGGAGGAGGCAGAGGAATTGTGACAAGCACAGCAGCTTACCTGTGGTAGGTGTTGGCCACCCAGTTGAGCAAGGTGTAGAGTTCATTGAAATCCAGCAGTCCCTGGCAGAGGTGTTGCAAATGTGAGGCAATGGCCTTATGAAAAGCCTCCACGTATGTGTCACACACCTGGTACTCCTCGGGATAGCACTTTTTTACTGATAACTTGATTTTCAGTAAATCTTCCCTCACGAGTTTCTGGAGGAAGTTTAAGTGGAGATCAAGCCAAGAACTATCTTCTTCCTTTGATGCCATGGGTGCCTTCAGGACTCTTTTTTCAGCACTCTTGTTGATTGCTTCCCTCCACGTCTCCCTCCACTTCCTGGGCCTGCCAAGCAAGTCTGACCCAGGATGAACAGCTTCGTCTGTGTTGGGATGAGCTGCTTCTTCATGGCCAATTAAAGTCACCATGGAAGTCAGCATGGTTTCCTCTACGGTGGAAGCTTCCAGCGTTCCCTCCACTATGGACTGGATAGCATCTCTGATGGAGTTATAAAGCAAATCCACATCCTTGGATTTCCGTAAAAGCTCCTGTGGGTTATCTTTGTATTTCTCAGCATCCCGTTCAGAGATAGTCTCATCTTCCAATAACTTGATACTTGCAAATGCTTCCAAGAGTTGTCCTTTCTGAATAAGTTCATTGATTTCCATTACTGCAGAAAGAGAGGGGAAGGGGTTGGGACAAAGCAGGAGTTAGGTTATTGACAGGTAGGTAACAGGACAAAATGCCCCATGGGGAGGCTTGCAGAAGGCTGCTCTGAGTGGTCAGGTCCCAGCAGTGCCCCTGAGACTGACCCCCTCGACCTCTCCAGCTCCTGTTTGAGACAGGAGAGGAAAACAGTGGGAATGCAATCACTGCAAATTGAGCCACATCTCTAAAGTGCCGGTTACAGAGGTAGGAAATATCCAAAAAGCTGATGATAGCTCTGCAGGAAAACCTCAAGCAATGGCTCATGAGGCTGCAGAGTGGGATACTGGGGGCTCAGGCAGCATAAAACCACCTCTGTCTCTGCCTCTCTGCTTGTGTGGAGATGAAGTGTGACTGGCACCAGGAACAGTTCAGAATATACCATACCAGCAGGATTTCCTTTAGCATATCTGTCCTTGTTTCCTGCATACCAGTGTGCTCAGCACTGCTCCTGACACATTTTTTGGAGCATTTCTTGTTTAGATGTAACCTTGGCCAAACCCCAGGCTTCTCTCCTTTTTTGGTTTTGTGCATTATCAAAGTTTCCTAAAATACATCCAACTAATGTCACAGCTAACTAGCTTCTGCATTTTTGAGGCTGAACAAAATGCAGAGATAGTTTCTGGTGATTCCATAATGAGATCTCTCCTCTTGAGATGTAGGGACTGAGACAGCAAGCCAGAGACTGGCCCATCTGGGACTGGCCACCCTTTGCAGCCTGTGTCAATCACAGAACTGGCTTCTTGACACAGGTAAGATGCCTCTTACCTGTTCCAGACATTTAGATGTTCTATGAATGCCTGTGGTCCTCAGCCTCCTCTCAATCAAAAAGAGGGGCTTCTGGAGGACCAGAAGACACCGCTTCTTAGCTCTGCAGTTATTGCAACCTGCAATAATCTTTTGGCTGGGGAGCGAGGAGATTCTCTAGGATGGTGGTCCTGGTGTCCCGGAATAAAGACCGAAACATCAAGTATGCCATGTATGTGAAATTTGCCCTCCTGGGGTGGTTCAGGGTTGGATGACTTGGCTGTTCACCTCCTGTATATAAACCTACAGTCAGATGCCAAGCACTTTCTTGCACCAGTGACGTTTGTTTCCCAAGTGGCAAGCACTGAGTGGTTTGGGGAGGTGTGTGCACTGGAGGGGCATCCAAACCTGTAGGTTTGGGGTGCTCCTGCTGCTCAGGTCTCACATGGGTTTTCCCTACTTTCTTTGCTTTTGGCACCCACTACCAGTAATGGCTGGTGTTGGCTGAGGCTGGGCGAAAGTCACCAAATACTGCTACCCCCAAAGTGACTGAGGTCTACTGAGTTTCACATTTACTTTACAAAGCCTTGCTCATGCAAGAACCACTGCCTATTTGCCACTAAGACAGGAAGTATTTGCCATGTGTTGAGGAGATCCAGATGCACTGTTAGCTTTTGGGAGACCTTGGGAAGCTCTCACCATCTCCAGCAGTATAACAGATGCTCTGAACAGGAGATCCAACTGTGATACTGGGCAAATATTAAAGAGAAGGGAAAGGGTCCTATTTAGGCATGTGTGACCACTACTTCTGGGACATACACATATTAAATGATAAGGAAAAATTGGAGAGTACTCAAAGAAGATATGAAGGACTGGTTCATAGCCTGTAATTTATGCCCTTGGGCTTGTCTGCACATGGGTTTTTTACCGTATGTACTAAATTATCTGTGTAGCATAAGAGTATCTGTATAAATACAGAAATATGCCACATATCCCAACTATTGATACATCATAGAACACATAAGTCTTTGAGTGCCTATATGGTGCTACAGTTGCTTCTGCACCAGGAAGGGAGGGAGATTGTACCAATTAACTTAGTCTCTTCTAGATAAATTGATATAAAACCTGTTTTTATACAAATGATTGCAGTGAGAGACTGGAGGAATACATTCTGTTCTGTTTATCAAAGTGAGAAAACACCATTTAATCACCATCTAGGATAATTATTAAGGGAGGTGATGTTGGGTGCTAAATGGATCTTTAATTTAGCAATACAAGATCAGCCAGCTGGTGGCTGAAGGAAGACAATTGAAAGGCAATTAACTATTATGCAGCTTAATGGTGCACATGGTGGAGTCTCCATCACTTGCCATACTTATCTCAGGATGGGATGCATTTCTGACAGAGCTGCTCTAGTCCAGGCCAAACACAAGTTATTGAGCAGAGAATGGGCATTATTTGTGCAATTATTCAGTTTGTTTATTGCAGGAGATGAAAAATCTTATGATAACATTTGCTGTTTCTTCTCATCTATGACCCTTTGAGATCAGACTAGCAAAATTCATGAGATGGGCTCAGATCCAGCTTACCAACCTCAGAATTTATCAGTGCAAAGCAGTAAATAACTTCACAGCGAGGTAGAGCACATTACAGCAGCGAGACAATGCCAGCCCATCTATCTGATCCCTGTGGCACCCTATGCAGAAGATCAAGAATTTCTTTCTAGAAATTTAGCCTAAGGAAAGGTCAAGCCATGTCGACCCACCTCAGTCTATCTCCAGGTGGATGCATTTTAGTACCTCTCTCTTGAAAAGATGGAGTAAAGCGGTGCTCAAACCACGATCAAAGTCATTGCAGTCTGCCCATACTTGGGGAAAGGTGAGAGCTATGCTATAGGTAGTTATTATAATTAGACCAAGACCTATCTACATAATGCTGACAAAACACATGAGAGTAACCAGCCAGAGGAAGACAAACAACAAATACTTGCAGCACTGCTGTTGTGAGAAGGACAGGTGGAAAGTCAGTGTAAGAGAGCAAAGTATCTGTGAAAGTGTCTTTGCAAGGCAGTCTCTAGGATTAGGAACCAAAGCGGAGATGCCAAGCCAGATCACAGCCAAACTATCTTTATTCCCCATCAAGGCCTTGCACCAACCTACAGAGCACAGTCAGGGGACCATCAGTCTGAGAGCTGAAGAGCAGAAATTGCCCAGAAGGGCAATGCAGGCAATAGGGTAGAAATAGTCCGCACTGCACTTCTAGGTATTGTCAGACCAGCAGTTCCTAAACTGTGGTCAGCAGATTGGTAACTGATATGTATGAAGGGCGATATGTCCACTGACAGGTTGATGGGTAGGTTGCTGATATGGTTGAAATAATGCAGTGGAGGCTACAGAGCAGCATGTTCAGTGACAGCAGGTGACCTGCCCAGCCTGGGCCAGGTAACACCCAACGAGTCCGTGCAAGGGGTGCAGTTGTCTCTCCCTTGTGATGGGATACCTTGTTCTTTATCACCTCTGTTGGGACCAACACTTGCACACTGTAAATTAATGTAACCTTCAAGGTTACATTAATCCTGCCAAGCAAATAACACTGGTGGTTTTGCTTCTTACCTGAAAGAGGTTTTCCTTGAATGGGCTCTGCTTCTTTATTTTCACTAATCTTCTCTACACCGTTACAGATCGTGGTTTTGTTCTCCTCGTATCTCCTGAATGATCGCAGAAGTCTTTTTCCTTTCCAAGTGCCAGTATCTTCCTTTCCACTCTCTTTGTTCAGACTTTGTTTTGATTTCCGGATGCTTAACCTTCTAATACTTCTTTCAAAGAACCCACTGTCCCTGCTGTGTGAAGTTGGGCTGCCCAGTTCGGAAGTAACCTCCATCTTTTCCTCCCCGGCACTGCTCGTCGGAGAGGCTGGTTCTGAGGTCACGGTCATTTGGTCTAACTCCATATTTCTATTTTCCTTGTCTTTCAACGAGAGGTTTACCAAACAGGTTGATGGTAATCACTGAAATGCACAAAACAGCAGAATTAGAGATGTTCTTAACAGAATATTACTCTGTCTCCAAAGTCAGTCCTGGACTGAAAATCTGGCTCATTCCTTTCCTGTGCATGATACAAGGATAGGGAAAGTTGTTGTAGCCTGCAGCTGCTGAAACAATTTCTCTACCCACAGACAACAGATGCTGGCCTGCACCTGGTCCTCTGGGAAGCTCCACTTAACTTCCTAAATCAGGAAAGTGGCAGCTATTTCTCCTGCACCAAGGAATCATTAACCATCAGAGATGCTGAAACCTGTGCAAAAATACCATTTCACTTGGTAACAAGGTATGGTTTTACTTTCCATTCTTCTAGGTGGATTTCCAGCCACGCAGGAATGATGATCCCCCCTTAGTCTCACTGGGGTGTTGCCACTTTCTGATGCGAATGTGGCAACTTTGGGTTGTGTTGTTACTTCTGTCCTGCTGCTGCTGGGGGTGACCCAGGGGTGAGTGGTCCCCAGCGGGTATCCGAGCTCTGCTCTAGCCCCTTCCATTAAAACCACAACTATCTCTGCACTCTGAATCATCATGGTTACAGTGCAGGAGGCTGTACAATGCAGAAGGGATTCACATCACTCATTCTGCCTCAGAGCACTGCATCCCAGCATGCCAAGAATGGGCATCTCTGAGGTCAAACAAAGCTCTGCATGAGCTGCAGGGGATGCTGCAGGAGATTTCAGATTTCAACAGGAGTGCTTCTGTCAGTTCTGCTGGGCTGCAATCACATCCTCTGCACTTGCTCAACTCCTGCCCTGCTGCAGACAGACTAATTCCCCTCTGCCCATCCTGAGGGCTGGCCCAGATGTTTGTGAAGGGGGAAGAGAGAGAGATTTTGCCTTCCTTCCCCTGCAAAGGGCTCTCATCAGGTCACCAGTTAACAGAGCCCGCTCATGGAGACGTTGTACATTGCAGAGCTGAGAGTGGAAAATGCCATGTTTCCCTGGCACAGGCTCAGGGCAGCTCAGTGAACAGTTCAAATCATTAGAAACAGCTATTGCTTGAGGTGACCCAGGAACTGCCTGTCTCAGATCTGTCCAGCTCAGAGACTGAAATATGACTGCAGTGAATGGACATGTTGGGACTCTGGAAATAGATTTCACCCTTCCTTGATCAGAGTTTCACTCCCTTGTACACAGTTATTTCACAAGCTGTAAACTGCAGGGACTGCATCTTCCCATGGGTTTGCTGAGCTGCTCTCACAGAGGGGATCAGACCCTGCATCACATGCTCTCAGAGGAATATCTAACCATTCATTGCCTCGCTCAGGATCTCACCCCATCACAGCCCATACTGAGGGTGGGAGGGAGAGGAGGGCACCCCATTGTCCAGGGATTTCAGTAGGAAGGAGGCTGACACCTAGCTCAAACTCTGCATGGGGACTCTATGGACAGAGCAGAGCAGCAAGGATCAGAGGGGCAAGCTGAGCAGTAAAGGGAACCAGGGAAGAAAGAACATAAGATGTGATCCCACGGGCAAGAAAAGGGGTGGAATACATACCCCAGTACTGACCAAACTGATCCCCTCCACGGCGAGCTGGGATGGCACAGGAATGATCCACAGGAATGGCACAGGAATGAAACTGAGAACGGCTCCGTGCTACAGGAAATCCAGGGGAGATGCAGAGGCAGGTGGGCAGCTCTACAGGGTAGAGGTCCAGGCCAGCTCACCCACATCAGCTGACTGGGACACCGTTCCTCACGCAGGTGCTGGTCGAGGGGCTCCCTCTGAGAATGGTGCTGCTCTTCATCCTCCTTTTCTGTCTGAAAAGGGCTGTAAAAAGTGGACAAAAAGGCCTGTCCGCACCTGCCCAACACCTCCAGCACCTTCACCTCTTTGTTTGCCGGGAGAGACTGTGGCACTGTTTCACTTTCACTATGTCTGAGCATTTAAAAGAAGGAAGGAGTTGGGGAAAAAATGCTGCACAACCTCCATTCAAGGTTAATTATTGCCCTACAGTGGAGGTTTGAACCAGGCGTTCAAATGGGGTGAGCTGCTGCACTGAGCTGGCCTGGGACAGTGGTGGGCAGAAGGATTTCGGCATGTGGTCCTGCCCCGGTGGAATGTCTGGTTGTGGGGGTTCAAAAGCGACCCCAGAGCTGCTGTGTGGGAGTGGCTTCATTTCACCACCTTCTGCCCTGTTTCTGCAGATCATGAGTGGCTCAGTCCCAGTAATGATTGCCAGGCATGGGTGAGTGACAGGGGGCACTGTGTCCCCTGGTTAAATATTTATATATTCACATCCTCACTTTGCTCCGAGGGCACTTATTTCCATGGGGTTGCTGGACCTGGATCCCTTCATTCCCGGAGCATTTGGGAACCTTGAAAGGAACTCAAAGCAAAGGAGCACAAAAAAAAATGAGGCCTTGAAGGTTTAAACAACATTAAACACATTCACTTGTTTTTTCACTGAGTGGTGTAAAGTGATTTAACCCTGGGGAACTTGCAGTGCCCAGACAGAGGCGAGTTAGGCTGCCAGGCTGGACACACCAGGCAGTTCCAAGTGGCCAAGGTCCTGGTGTAACACAAGAGGGATAAACCAAGAGTTGTCACCATGCCATGGGCAGTGTGTACTTCTTTGCTTTAGGAGCCTGCCAGCATGTCACCTGTCAGTGTGACAGGGGAAATAAAGGGGTTAGCGAGGGATTGATGAAATAAAGTCCAGTGGCATTTGGACTTCATGCTGTGCAAAGGAAAACAGAGGGAGAGAAGAGAGTTGAACAGTCTCCTCTACCTCTGGGAGAGATTGTGTGTCCAGGAGATGGAAAGTGTGTGGGATGGGAATAATTGTGATCAATTAAACAGGGAAGAGTGGCAGCACGTACTGGTGTGAAATTGCCCGGATGGCAAGATGGGACTGGGCAGAGCACTGTTTGTGGCAGGAGGAGTCTTGACTGAAGCTTTCCCCAGCTTGGCAGCCCAGTGCTGAACTTTCTGTCCTTGGGCTCTTCAAAGTCATGTTTAAGACAGAGACTGCTCTGCTGTACTGGGGAAAACCGTAATCGATAACTCTTCTGCCACCTGGCAGGTTGACAACATGGACAAAGGAAGGAGCTATTTACTCAGGCACATGCTGAGGTGTGGAAAGCCCCTTTGGACCCAAAGTCTGACTAAATCTCTTTCCATCTCAGCTGGTAATTTTCTCCTCCATCAAACATTTACAGAGTGTTGGTTTGTACAGACAACCTCACTATGACTGGGGTGCAGCCAGAGCAAGCAGCAGGTCCAACATGGGTGGAGTCTGATCTGGATCTCCCTGGAAGTTGTAAGCTACCTCGGAACACAGCTAGCACCAGGGCTTGCTGGAATGCTGATCAAGACAACCCTGGGGGAGCTCTGAATCCCACAATTGAGGTCACCTCTCTGCTTGCAACCTTTTCTAGTGCTCTCTCCCAGCATTGGCTCCCAAGGAGCACCCCTGCTCCTGCTAATGTCATCAGGGCAATGCTGTTTCCAGGCGTCTGTCCCCAGGAGGTCATGGGAATTTAAAAATTTATTATGTTGTGCAATTGTTTACCATTTTTCTTCAGTTTTTTTAGAAGGTCATAACCCTCAAGCTAGCTTTGAAGGCTAATTTTCTTTAAAAAGGAAAGTTAAGGGTCTCCATACTCCAGCAGGAGGTTTCAAAGAGAAAAAAATACACTGATTGTGGTGATGTTCAATAAAATGGTGAAGCTGGGGTATATTGTAACACATCTATCTCTTCCTATTCTCCATAGCCTCTGGAGAGTCCTGGTCCCTCACTCATCATTATTAACAGCCCCGCAGCATCAAATGTGTGTTTTCTCACCAGAGCTCATGAGCGTTCAGAAACTTTGCACTAAAAAACTTGTGGTCCTTAGTGTCATGGGCACCACATGGACACCACCCTGTCCCCAGCCAGCCATGGGGCACACAAGGCAGCCCCACGAGGCTTCACAGGCCCACGATGCTCCTCCATCCCTCCCTACCACCAGGAAGGCCCATCCCTCTGGTGCTAAACTCACAACTATGCTCTTAATTGGAAGTGGATGAGTGACCTGGAGAAAAAAGCTAATCCTTTCAGGAGGTGGCCTCCCAAGTTTTTCCCCAGGGATGCTTTGGATTATCAGCTGCTCAGCCTATGCTAATCGACCCGCTGACACAGTGACAGCCACACAGCTGCACCGCACGGTTGTTCACGTGGTGTTCCACAGAGTTCTTCAGCCCTACCATCAACGGGAGCACATGTTCCTGAAAAGATCTGGCCACGTGGGAGAAGCATTATGAAATTACCTTCCACCCAGCAGCACCAGCCTAATTGCCTTTTGGGTCTCTGGGGACGGTGGTGAGAACAGGTTAATCACCATCTGGGGGGTGGAATATTGATGCACTTACTCTGAACTAGCAGCAGGCTGGTGGACCTGGCTAAGCCTGGACCTTCCCACCAGAACAACTCAACAAGGAAGAAGGAAACAGAAAAGAAGGCAAAACCAGGTTGAGAAATCACAAGTAAGAGATAACCTAGAAAATCCAGGTGAAAGCACCGGTGCCTCAGAACTGAGTTCAAGGATCTTGTGGCAAGTGGCTGCTGCAATCACTCTGAGATGCAAAACCAACTGCTCCTCACCTGGTTCCCCTCACCTCTCCCTTCTAGGGGGCCTACAAGAAAGCCACAGAGGATGTTTTTACAGAGATACAAAGCGATACGACATTGGGGGGATGGCTTTAAACAGAGAGGGTAGATTTAGATTAGATATCAGGGAGAAATTCTTTACCTTGGGGCACTGGAACAGGTTGTCCAGAGAAGCTGTGGATGCCCTATCCTTGGAAGTGTTCAAGGCCAGATTGGACGGGACTTTGAGCAACCTGGTCTAGTGGAAGGCATCCCTGCCCCTGGCAGGGAGGCTGGAACTAGGTGATCTTTAAAGTCCCTTCCAACCCAAATCATTCTATGACTGTATGATTGTTCCAGCACAGCTTGTATCAGAACTCAGGGGTGAAATGTTAACATTAATGCATCTGATGCTTCCCAAAACAAAGTTTTCCCATTGGCATTTATTATAAGAGAGAGGTCTGTTTGGTCAGTGCCAGAAGTCTGGTTATCTCACTGCAACCTGCTCAGCTGAAAGCAAGGATTGACTGAAGCTGCAGGAGTCTCCCACGTGTTGGTGTTTCCCATGAAAGCAGGATTAACATAATTCTTTTTACCCTTGATGAGCTTTGAGTCTTGCAGTGGTGAGGTTCTTCCATGCACAAGCACACTTCTCCGCATGGCTTTTGCAAAGAGTTTGTCAAGTTGTAGGTGCATTAAAAATGACTATAAATAGGGCTGGAGAGATGTGTGGTGGAGGGGGTACAGAAAATGTCACAGTCATGTGGAGAGCAGATCAACTTTTCAGAGATCTAGAAAATAAGGACTATGAAGAAGAAATGAACGTGTTTTGGCTGTTTAAGTTGAGAGGCCACACAACAGCTGTGGGCTATGGAAAGAACTGATGAAAAAAGGATGGGAATAACTTGCCCTCCCTCTGTGATGGGGAGAGGACAGTGATTCTCTGCCTGTTGAAGCTGCACTATCGGAGATCTTCAGGATGGATTTTGACAAGTGTCTGTGAGCAACAGTTTAGGTGCAGTTCCTGTCCTGTTTGCCTTGTGTATGGGGAGTTACTCCTCCAGCTTCAAAGGGAATGCATGAGTTCCCTTACTCCCTCCTTCTCTCCTTCCCTCCCTCTGGGGCTCAGGAGTCTCTTCCCAGCAGGTATTTGTACTCACAGATGTCCTCGAGCCCCGTGTTTGCATGTCTTGTCCTTCCTTTGGCTTAGTTCATGCATAATGGACACGAATTAGGCAGGACAACCTTGGGAACACATTGCTGTGCCCCCTGCCTCAGTTTCCCCACCTGTGAAATGCATGTATTCAGTTTACCCTCCTTGGGTAAGGAGGAGGTGTGTTGCTTGATCTCTTGCTATGAAAATATTTTAAAGGGTTTTTGATTTCCTCAGAAAAGGTGTGAAGGATGTGCAGAGCCCAAATCTGCAAGAGTGTTGCTGACTATCAGCTCCCTAATGCCGTGCAACCACTAACCTCTGTGGGGCTTTCAGACAGCTGCTTTGCCTCCTGACCCTGACCCTTCTGAATATTTGGTTTGAGGTTTATTTGCTCCCTCTTCCCTTCTCTGTGTTTATTACTCATATTTATTATATTCCTTCTTATTTCTTTTCCTGTGATAACACCCATGGAACACAGTGAAAGGCTCCAGAGGTGCAGTGTTCCTTGGTGGGGTGAGGGGCAGGGAGAGTAGTGTTGGGGGTTGCACAATTCACTCCACAGCCCCAAGGTTTTCATCAGCTCCAAGAGCCAGGAGAAAAACACATTGCTGAGGCTCCAGGGGAATACTGCTCTGATGCACATCCAGAAAACCACACTGGATGCCCTCTCACAGTCTTGGCAACCCAACCGGCACAGCCTTGGTGGGGCATGCTGTGACCCACTCCCTTTCTGCAGGTTTCATTTGCTCAGTAGTGGGGCTGAAATCTCAACCCGTGTGGGTGGAGGAGACCCCAGAGCTGCAGTGATTTATTGCAGCAGAGAGGCTGGCTTGCTATTTTTAACAGCATCGCTGGTGATGGATGAGGCAAAGGCATGTTGGGGGCTGCACGTGCCTGTGCAGCCATTGCCTCCTGGGGGGTGGTTTGCAGAGAAATGAGATATATTGCTTCACCTGCAATATTTTTCTTTCTGCTTTTAGGTTGTGGGAGGGTTGAGCCTTAAGCTGAAAAGTACATTTGCAGGCAAGAAGCAGGTTGTGGTTTGGAAACTGGCTGTTGCAGAAGGGATGCTGGCCTCAAGGTTGAGTGGGAGAATTTGGAAGATGCATTTCTGCAAAACACAGGAATGTTATCTGGAAGAAGAAGGTACTCCAGACCCAGGATGGTATCCTACACTGTTCTGTGTAGCCA